AAGTCATGTTGAGCTGCCAATTGCATCAAGCTTCGTACTGATGTCATGTTTGCAGTCGGGGAAAATGTCTCCTTATAGTCTATTCCTGCCACTTGACTATATCCCTTTGCAACATATCTGGCTTTATATATATATCTCAGTCTTTTCTGTGTTTTCTTTGATTGTATAGACCCATCTACCCCCCACTGCATTTTTGCCCTCTGGTAGTGTGGTCAATGTGAATGTGTCATTTTCCTTAAGAGAATTCATTTCCTCCTGCATAGCATCAGTCCAGAGTTTTGACTCTGCTGAATGCATGGCCTCTTTAAAGGTGTTTGGTACATTACACATTACTCTGTAGCAGTAGTCAATATTTACATACTTCTGGTCGTCACACTGTACTTTACATTCATAGTCCTCTAAATACTGAGGTCTCCTCCTTTCTCTTTGGGGATAGCTTCTATTTTGACCTTCTGCTCCCTTTCCTGTCTGAGTGTTTGTGTCATCTGTCTCAGTTCGAGCCTCCTGTGTCTCTTTTGGACACAAGTCAGTCCCCTGGGTTTCTGGCTTGGTGGATACAAACCTTTTCTCATAAAAATCGTCATCACTTGCCTCAAAATCAGTCTGTGTATGTCGCTCGACTATACTTTTTGTGACAAACTTCACTTGCCTGTGTTTTCGAACACTACCAGTGTCTGGGTTGTAGACTAGGTATGCTGGGCTGTTTTTATCATACCCTACAAAAATACCCTTCTCACACCTCGAGTCTAACTTTTTCTTTTCCTGCTTGTATGCATAGCATACAGATCCAAATATATTCATTTTCGAGAGGTTCGGCTTACGTCCTGTCAGCATATAATAAGGTGTCTGTCCTACACGTCTGTTGTAACATCTGTTACGTATTACAGCTGCAGTCATGACGGCATATGTCCATAGCTTCTTTGGTAAATTGCTCTCAAGAAGCATGCATCTTGCCATTTCAAAAAGTGTTCTCCAGTTTCTCTCAGCTGTCCCATTTTGATGGGGTGAGTAAGGTGCTGAAGTTTCATGTCGTATTGCATGTTGTCTAAGGAGCGATTGAAAGTTTGTCCCGGTGAATTCTGTACCGTTATCAGACCTTATACATTTGATTTTACCATAAGGTGCGACATCAGCAATGAATTTCTCTGTGGCTTTGAAAGTATCACTTTTAGCTTTTAGGAAATACACAAATACTGCCCCTGAAAAGTCATCTGTAAAAGCCAATGTGTATCTGAATCCCTCCTTAGCCTCTGGCTCAATGGGACCTGCTAAATCAGTGTGCACAAGATTGAGCGCTGCTTTAGCTCTTGCATCTGGTTGTCTGTTCCTACTCTGAGCAAATTTACCTCGAGTACACACTTCACAGTTAAGGTTAGATTTATCAATCCCACCCTTAATTTTCATCCCCTCAGTGACTTTTTCCAGTTGTGACACATCATCATAGTTACAGTGACCAAGTATTTCATGCCATGTTTGAATGTCATAACATCCATAACATGCATCGTCCTCAGCTTCACAGTCCACAGTGTTTAAAAAATAAAGTCTATCATATTCCTTGATGTCAAATAGTTTACCTCTCTGGTGAATCAGCTGGTTACAACCCTGACGAAAGTTCACTGATGCTCCGTTGGCTGTCGCTGCTTTAACAGAGAAAATGTCTTGTGGATAGGACGGTATATAGAGCGCGTCCTTCAGCATCGCTGTCACTCGTCGTCCCTCCGTGTCTTGCAGGCAGACCTCCGCCTCTCCTTTCTTCAAAGCGACACCACTTGTTCTTGTCCCGTCAGCCAATTCAACAAAGTGGTCTTTCGGTTGAAAAGTCTCATCGAACCTTTTAAACTTGTCGATGTTCGTTATTATGTGTGACGTTGCTCCGGTGTCGACCATCAGCCCTTTATGTGTAACTCCGGTTACTGGACTGTCACGTACTTTAAAAACAAATGAGTGGTCCTCAACGTCAGTTGCTTGTTTAGCATTGTCTCTCTCTTTGCGTCTGCAGTTTGCATCTATATGTGTGGAATTTTTGCCAAAACTGCACCACTGTCTCTGGTCTTTGCTGTTGCTGCTACTCGCACTTCGACACTCACGAGCCCGGTGTCCTTTCTGACCGCAGTTGTAGCAGGTGATATTGGGGCCATCTCTCCACTTCACCCAGCCACTCGCTTTCATAATATTATCAGATTCCTCACTCAAGTTGGCATTGTATTTTTCTGTGCTTTCATAGCTCCTCAACTTTGTTTTGAACTCACCAAAAGTTAGCTTCTCATCCCCTTGTGTAATGTGGATGGCAAACGGCCTAAAACAGATTGGCAGTCCCTTTAAAATCATGGCTATCAGCAGCCCGTCGCTAAGAGTCTCTTCAGCATTTCTCAGTGCTGTAATTGCCGTTTCGGCACGAATAATATAGTCAGTGACGCTCTCATTAGCGGCTTTCTGCAGCGACGTTAGTTCAGTGTAGAGGCTGATCACCCGTGGTTTCCCTTTCCCAGCGTAGTGGTCCCTCAGTATTTGTAACGCTTTTCTTCCGTTGTCCGCTGCTTCTCTCATGATCAGTGAAAGGCTTTTATCGTCCAGTACCTGGATCAATTCCGCATAGGCTTCTTCGTTTTTCTCATCATCAGCCTCATCCTCTACACCTGGCTCCTCTAGGATGGCAGCCTTCAATCCTAGCAGTCGCAGGTGACCCAAAAACGTTGTCTCCCATAACTCGTAGTTCTTCTCATCTCCGTCGAAACACAAACGGTTCCACCGGCTTCCATGGTCCCTCCTGGGCCCATAACCTGTTAGCGATGCCATGATCTTAGGGCAGGAATACCGTGAACATAGTTTAACGTGACAGAGGAATAAATACACACGTACACCATCAGCTGTGCTTCAATCGGAAGTGACACGTTTTATTGCGCATGTCCCTTTTATCACGGGAATACAGGAAGTGATTAGTATAAGAGTACTAAATAAACAGAATTCATATATTACATTTCATAATTCAACAGCAAAAATGAAAATGTAACCATCTGTTTTCATCATTAGCTGCAACATTGTTTGTTTTGTGAAATCGGGACTTTTATATATTTTTGAATTGGGAACGCTGTTTGAAGCCAGTTAGTTCAGTCTTTTCTCAGCTCTCTTTTGATTTTTTTTTACAAAAGTATTGTATTTAGATTTCTTTGACTGAATGATTGATCACTCTCTTCAGTTCTTCAAAGTAGATAGTAAACACACATTTTAAGAAAATAATTATATGCAGTTTGAGGTTCTTCACTCAAACCAGAACACACTTAAAAGTGTTTCCTAAGTAACTGAGAGTCTTACGTTATGGTTAAGAGGAGTCCTTCATGAGTCCTCCTACACAATGTATCATTTTCCGTGAGCTTAAGAAAAAGTGACGCTCATCTGCTCCGAATGTAGTATTCTTCAAATCTTGACATGAATTTACCATTACTCATTGAAACTCTGACCTTTGAGATTAAGAGGTTGTCGGCTGTTGGTTTGTCAGCAAGATTATGGAAAAACTATTGGCACAATTTTCACCAAACTAGATGGAAGGGTAGAGCATTGGCCACATTTCAGGGTGAATCTGAATCACGTGGTGAATATACACGTTTCATTTTGTACTTATGGAAAGGGAGTTGGTGGAATTCTATGCTCTCGGAAAGCCCTTCTAGTTCACCAAATGTATTATGAAATGATATATTAAAGAATCACTACTCAACGCTTCCTCTTATTTGCAATCCATTTTGTTCTGCTCCCAGTTGGCCATTAGTCTGTCTCATAACTTGGTGACATACATGTACCATTACTCATTTACACACGCTGACCTTTTGCATTAAAAGGTGGGAATGGAAATAATATATAAATACCTTTTTTAAATGAAAGTGTTGTACATTGAAAATGGTTTTATTGCAACACAAAACGAAATTGTTACCTTCCCTAATGACTTTATATTTTCGGTTCAGTTTATTTGTTTGTCAGCAAGATTATGGAAACATTTTAATAAAACTTGGTGAAAATGTGCCAGTATTCTGTTCCTCACATTTAAATCCAAATCAAGGGGTGGATACATGTATTCTTTTTTACTTGGCGGAGATCTGCACTCTCCACAATCCCTTCTAGTTACATAGATACAGTACAGGACGGTTTTATTGCAATACAAAACTGAATTGTTACCTTTTACAATGTACGGTTTGGTTTGTTGGTTTGTCAGCAAGATTGTCAAAACATCTACTGGCCAAGCTTTCCTGAAACCTGGTGGAAAGTTGAAGCATGAGCCAAGGAAGAGTAGATTTAGGGAGGATACGAATCATGGGGTGGATACACGTATACTGTTTTACTTATGGAAACAGCGTTGGCGGAGTTCTACGGCAAAAGCCTTTTTAGTTCACCAAATGTATTATTCAATGTTTTAAAGAAGCACTGCTCAACATTTTTAGATTAACAACAGGTCTTGTGACTCGTAGTGACAAACCAACAGAAAATGACCATCGATTTTGCAGTTTGCCTCAGCTCTATGGAGGAATGTAACACTTTTAATGGTATTCTATTGGTTATCGTCTTTAAAGCCTTCATTTTCATCTCTAAATATCTACAGAGTTTCCACATAGGTGTGGATCCAAGACAGTTTTTCTTTTATCTGCCATCTGCCAGAAAACTCCTGAGGAAGCAGAATCCTGTAAAGAGAAGATCAATGATTAACTTCATTCAGATAGAAGTATCTTCTCCACATTTCTCCTTGCTGCAGTGCTGGCTATTCAAACTCTGTTACTGCGCATATTTTCACTCTATACATGATTACAATGTAGATGAAAATTCTCAGTGGTGTTAAAATGACCTGTAGCCAACATTTGTACGTTTCCTTGGGCAAGATACTTAACCCTGAATTGCTCTCTTAGGCATGTCTGGAAATTGAAGTGTATGTTAGTTGCTTTGGATTATAGTGTCAGCTAAATAACATGTAATGTGAAAGTAATGAGATTTTCTTTTCCTGCTTTGCTCTCTTACAGACTGAAAGCTCTGGTATCAACAGGAGGTCGGAGTGTTCAAGCAGCATGTGACTGGTGAGTGAAAACATTACATTTATGTATAGTTTATAGACCCATCCAAAGTTACGGAAAATGTGTGTTATACTGCCCTCTGTTGTACAAATTGGTACAGTATATCCTGTGTATATTGTTGAGAAATAATGATTTTATTGATTCATTTCGAGCAGCCCTCTTACTTTTGAGAAATGAAATGCAACCTCTGTAGGCAAATAAATAACAAAAATAATATTAATACAAAATATAATATTAATAATGATACATTTAATAATTTCATTAGCTTCCTCTCAACAGATTTAATACAAATATTTGTGATAAGAAATGTCACCAAATTAGAAAAAAGTGCTACCTACTGTATCATTTACACACTATGTTATAAAAGTGCTGGTAAATTGAAGCATGTTGCATATTTTGAATGCATTTGGCAGAACAAAGTCCCCCCTAATTATTGTAGAGCAAATAGGATCATTGGAATATTGAATGCCAAAGAGTTCTTTTAAAATGTTTGTTGTCATTGACTTTAAGGGAGAGTGATGTTACCATCGAAAGAGCTGTACTGAAGAGTCAGAAGCCTCAATGTTTTTTTTCTAACATTGACATTCAAATGCTTTTAAATGCATTTTGTATGTCTATTCATATTAATTGTGTTTAAAGCTGGTATTTTTGCACAGTTGCATCTAAGGAGTAGGATAGACCAATATGGGACGCAGTAGCTCAGTCTGGAAGGAACTCAGCTTGGGAACTGAAGGGTCCCCGGTTCAGGTCCCGATTGGACCAAAAATACGGAGTGTGGACTGGTAGCTGAAGAGGTGCCTCCTGGGAACTGCCAAGGTGTCCTTGAGTAAAGCACTGAACCCTAACTGCTCACTGGCACCGGAACACTGGCAGCCCTTTCACTCTGACACCTTTCCATCAGTGCATGTCTATAGGTCCTATGTGTAATTATAAAATAACACCAGAGGGAAAAACTGAATTCCCCCTTGGGATTAATTAAAGTGGATCTTGAACTTATTATAAGTATGTACTGTAGCGCCAAGTGAAGGACCCTGGTTCCAATCCGGCCTGGGACCATTTGACGCATGTTGTCGCTTCTGCTTCCCATTACTATTTTATCTCTATAATAAAGGGACTGGTTGCACAAAAAAATATTTAAAAAAATAATATATATATATTCTGCTTCAATCCATTTTGTATGGCCCCACTTTGCGCATCTGCTTGCCCCAGTCATTGTACTCGAATTAATAGAATAACTTTATTATTATAATGACGACAGACATTCGAAGCATCATTTCTAAACCTCAATAGAAGCTTCAAAGTAACTGAAGTCTTGCTCCCTCTCCCTCCAGGCTCTTCTCTCATGTAGATGACCCGTTCCTGGACGACCCTCTGCCCAGGGAGTTTGTCCTCTACCTGCGGCCCAGCGGACCCCTGCAGAACCAGCTCTCACACTTCTGGCAGCAGAGCCGCGTCACATGTGGCAAAAACAAAGCACACAACATTTTCCCACACATCACCCTCTGCCAGTTCTTCATGGTGAGTTGTACAGCTTCACGAAGGACAATAAATAATGCTCATTAATATCAGTGGGACTGTGATTGCATCCTGTGTGTTATGACTATTTCAGACTTGTACTTCATTACCCTAACTTACCTCTGTCTGCACAACAAAGAAACATTTTTTTACATTTTCCAATTTCCCATGAACCCTCCTTCCACACAGTGTGCAGACCACAAAGTGGAAGCCCTGTGCGAGGCCCTGCAGGCGTCCGTCCAGCAGTGGCGGGGTCGATTCCCCAGCCCTCTGCCTCTGGAGCTCTACACATCCTCCAACTTCATCGGCCTGTTCGTGGAGGAGACGGTGGCCGACGTCCTCAAGCAGTTTGCCGCTGACTTCTCCACAGAGGCCGCCAGGAAGGCAGGTAGGAAGCACAAGCATTGGAGCCTTTTAAGATGAGCATATCTTAGATATATTTTGAGTTGAAATATAATGTTTGAAATATACTTATGAAAGCTAGTATTTATATAAATATGTTTTGATTGTGGGCACCTGTGGTGGGCGGGGCTTTAAATAGACGAGATCATTTGAGTGTTCTCCAGTAAGATGGCGGAGGGCCTACAGTTTTCTGACCACGTTATTTGGCGCATTACTTTACATAAAAGATCGCATTATTTGGCACACTATTTTAAGTCTTTTTGACAATCGATCGAAGTTGGATTTCTTTTGTTTCCCGGAGAGTCAACCAGAGTTTATTGCTGAATAAATCATCATCGTGTTTAAGAAGAACTCAACAACATATCGATGCATTCTATTTGGGAAAAGTGTGTTGGACAGTCTCACCTGACCTCATGTGGCTTTATGTAAGTTAAAGCCAGAAATCAGCCACTTCAACAAGCATTAGCAGTGAAGCGCAACACAGCATTATCTTCATTATGTGTGTGCTTGTGTTTCATACTCAGCTCTCAATGAGCCTGCCTGTTTACATAAAGAATCAAATGAATACAAACACAATGCCCTGGTATTACCACTTGTTTAGGAAGTGTTACAAGTAAAAGTCCTTGTTACTTAACAATGTAACTTCAGTAAAAGATGAATAGTTTTAGCATCAAAAAGTATTTCACGTACCAAGTATTCATTATGCAGATTGGACATTAAATGTACCTTAAAGGGATATTTTCCATGTTTTCAATAAACTTATGGACAAATATGATGGCGTTATACAAATATATACTTTTATAAACATTTCAGGCTTTTTCTTTTGCTCGCCATTCACAACTTTATTGCACCATCGCTGCCTGATTTCCCAAACTACGGAGCGGGCTGAGGGTCAAGGAACAAAAACTAGTGACAAAATGAATTGTGGTTTTGAAAGAAAGTTGCATTAACGCGTTATTATCACATTAACTTTGACAGCCCTAGGAAACACTCATGTAGAGTACACCATCAAATGCACTTAATTACAGTAGCTGAGTAAACGTACTTGGTTCCTTTTCACCGCTGGTATAGAGTTCAGCATCAGTTCATCACTATACCATGGCCGTGTAATGTGTGGTGACCGGCTGTCTCCCCCAGCAATGTCAGTAAATGATTGGTCAGGGTGGCGGTCGTGTCGGGTTATTAGAACTCTCGCTCATCTGTCGCTGTAACTCTCCTTTAAACACAGGCGAAAATGATACTGACTGCCAAAGAGTATTTCAGGCAGCTCAGAGCCAAATCAGATTAGATCCATGGTGTTGGCACTAACGCACTGTCATATTTCTGTTTCTGGTAAAGATCAGTGTGTCTTTTGAATCTGATGGGGAAATGTTGAGCGTTGTTGGTTGGACTCTCTGATGATTATGGAAGATTGACCTTACTGAAACTTCTTGAACTACGGACGTTTTTTCTCCCAGAGGTGCATGTGGAGCCTCATAAGAAGCAGCTCCATGTAACACTGGCCTACAACTTCCCCACCAATCACCTGCCTTCACTGGAGAAACTGGCCAAGGGCATTGAAGTTAAGCTGGGCTGTGATTGGCTGGCAGTCTTGTTTTCCCGGGACATTCGTTTTGCAAACCATGAGGTGGGTGATATTCAAAACCATACATATTTCAAGGTTAGTGATGCCTATTTATGAGTTGTAAATGTCACTACGTTAGTTAATGAGTTCCTCTGCAGACGCTGCGGGTAATGTACCCCTACTCGCCTCAGAACGAGGATGAGCTGGAGCTGGTTCCTGGAGATTTTGTCTTCATGTCTCCGGTGGATCAGAGCAGTACCAGCGAGGGCTGGGTGTACGGGACCTCGCTGGGCTCAGGGCTGTCCGGCCTGCTGCCTGAGAACTACGTCAGCCTGGCGGATGAGTCCGAGACCTGGGTGTTCCATGGGTGAGCAGTGCACGCCACACTGGCACATGAGATGGTCCTAAATGCCTAAACCATATGAAAAGTAAAAAAAACATATGGTAGAAAAATGTAATAATATCAAAGAAAAATACTCTGAATTTCATCTGGGGATGTAAAGAAACAATTAAATACTAATACTATTAATTTATAAGAATGTGTCATTTGTTTATCAAAAGTGCAATTTTCCAGTCAATCATAAGCCATTCTAACTTAGTCTTGCACTGAGGTGTTTTTAGATCCAAATGTTAGCCAGTTAAAAATGAATGGGAATCATTTGTGGTCCCTCTTAAAATGTTCATCTTGCCTTTTAAGTATAACAATGTATTTTAATGGAGGAAGGTATTGCCAATTATTGAATTGCTCTCCCCCCACAGCTCCCATTCCTTCTTCAGCTGTGGGCCAAGTGACAGGAGCAGTAAGGACAGAGGGATGTTTGACGGGCTGCTGGACAGCCGACGGATGGAGAACAGCAGTCCTGGAGACACCCCCACCCTCAGTCTCATCTGTCATCCAATGCAGGTACGTTAGTCTTTATAACTGTTATTGTTCTGTTTTTGTTCATGTTCCCCCTAACGGCAGAACAGATGAAAAAAGAATATAAAAAAGATGATCCTGGCTTTTCGTTAATGTCATTAGTGAGGACATATTATGCCATTTGTTTCAGGTTCATATTTGTATGTTTTGCGTCTACTGTGACATGTCTCCATGCTTTAATGTTCAAAAAGCTCTTTATTTTTCTCATACTGCCTGTGCTGCAGCACCTCTTTTCACCCTCTGTCTGAAACCAGAGCCCAGTCTGCTCTGATTGGTTAGCCGGCCGGCTCTGTTGTGATTGGTCAACAGCTTAGAGATGTCCCGCCCCTTAGACTATCACGTACAATGCGTTGGAGCACTAGCCAATAGAAGCGCAAGTGTTGCATAGTGATGTCATTATGTTATGGAAGTAAACAAAGGAGTCCAATGGAAACTCCCTCTGGGGGGAGCACAGGGATTTTAGCCTTTGCAGACCATTTACATGCATAAAAAACTATTGAACACAATACAGGAAAGGGCCTCTTTCAGACAAGAGAAAATACCCTCATCGTTCCCCTATGACAAAAAGCTTGGTAGCCGAGTGGTAACAGTGCATGTCATACCTCTCTCTATGTCCACATTTATAGACCCTAGCCACACGGAGACGGTAACAAAAAACGAACCGAATTCGATATCAAAAAAGTCTTCCGTCCACACGCACCAGAAACGTGTCCTTCCACACGAGACCGCTCGACCCGCTGGAGACGTTGTAGTACATATGCCGGGCCTGTAAGTAACGCTGTACTTCCGCCACAAAATACACCAAAAGCAGCGAAGAAGACTTCACGAGCGTGCATGGTTGCCATGGTTGCCCTTCTGTTTATTCTCCGCAGCAGCAGAGGTGGGGAGAGGCAGGGCTCTGGCTCTTTTTCTCTCTCCCGAGGCAAGCGTGTGCTCCTGCTGTATATCTCCCCGGTAGTCCACCAGCAGATGAAAAACACCCACCTCTCCGCCTCTTCCAAGGGACGAGGGGACCGTGCGGCAGAGTTTCCGTTAGAATTGTTTTCACCGGTCAACATGTCCGTTAAAGTTGAAATCTTCCGGACAAAGTTATAAAAGTGCCGGTCAAAGGTCTTCTTTGTTATTTATTGAGCTTTAAAACAAATGAATAACGACTCTATATAATAATATAAGAATAATATACGGACTCTCTCTTTTCCTCCCCCTCTCCTGACAGCCCGTCAGTATTTTCGTTATCAGGAAATGATTGTATCGGGCGTAATCACGGAGCCGTTTGGCCCCCCAGAGCGTTGCGTCTGCAGATCTACCCACCTTGGGACCCGTTATCGTTATCGTTTCTACGTTTCCCTGTCGGCCTCGTGTGGCCGAACCGTCTATGAGATAGAGAACTGTAGCGGATACGACCCGTATCGTCTCCGTGTGGCTGCAGCCATAGTCTCTGCCACCTGTCAAACATAACGCCTAAATATTTGTACAAAGCAATGCACTGATGCATTTTATTCCCAGCAGGTCCTGCGGATAAGTAGCAGTCATTCTAGGCAGCCCAAGCGGACGCTCTTCGTCTGTCGGCATGGGGAGAGGATGGACGTGGTGTTCGGAAAACACTGGCACTCCCTCTGCGCCGACAGTAAAGGTGAAAAGCTGCTGGCAGACAATAAGTCAAAAGCATTCCTACTTTTCACTGCCTTAAGGAAATGGCTTTACGGTTGAGAATGTGTGCTCTGTTGTTCTGCAGGCAGATATGTACGCTCCAATCTGAACATGCCTCCCAGTTTGCCGCTGTGGGGGGGGCAGAGAGATTACGACATGGACGCTCCCATCACTGTGATCGGATCCACACAGGCTCGACTTGTGGGTACGTCACTAAAAGAGTTTTTTAAATGATGCACTACACCTTGGCAGGGGAAGAAATCTGTTTGTTTAATGTGACTCATATGTGCTTCTTCTCAGGTGAGGCTCTGTTAGAGAGTAACACAGTGATCGACTTTGTGTACTGTTCTCCTTCTCTGCGATGTGTTCAGACTGCACAGAACATCCTGAAAGGTGAGAGAAGAAGTTACGTTTGCCTGGATTTCCTTTTTAATTTGAAGATGAGCTCTAAAGAGCTGTGTGTGTGTGTGTGTGTGTGTGTGTGTGTGTGTGTGTGTGTGTGTGTGTGTGTGTGTGTGTGTGTGTGTGTGTGTGTGTGTGTGGTGTGTGTGTGTGTGTGTGTGTGTGTGTGTGTGTGTGTGTGTGTGTGTGTGTGTGTGTGTGTGTGTGTGTGTGTGTGTGTGAGCAGGTCTGCAGCAGGATGGTAAGCTGAAGGTGCGAGTGGAACCGGGGCTTTTTGAGTGGACCAAGTGGGTTTCGGGGACCTCCCTGCCTGCGTGGATCCCCCCCACTGACCTGGCTGCAGCCCACTTCAGTGTGGACACAACATACAGGTGATACAAACAAGGCACACCTTGTGCGGTTCAAATGCTGTGTTCATTAGACATGTAGAAGAATGTGTCATCTGCAAAACGTCCCACATAGTTTTACAAAGTCATGCCTAAATGTTTGCCTGTCAGAAATAATAATTGATTGGCAGTAGATCACCTGGTAGGCCGGAACCCCATGTCTTAATGGCTGAGTTTTACCCGCCTGGGTTCGAATATAAAAATAAAAGATGTACATAAGGTAATGTACGGTTTATTTGTGCAGTTTACATGCTTAACATGCAGCAGATGTTGCTGTGTTTTCTATCCATTCTGCCTGCCAGTTCACTAACAGAAGTTATAGATAGCTTTGACCTGTATGTTTGATGAGTGCTGTTAAATTGGATCTTTCTAACTGAAAACAACAACCCCAAACCACAGTGCACTTCCATTCAAAGTTAATCAAGTTTTATATATATTTTTTAATAATATCTTTTTTATGTACCAGTGGTTTTGTAAAAATCTCTTTTTGTCTCAATGCAGACCTCTGATCCCAGTCAGCAAGCTCAGTGTGTCCGAACCTTACGAGACCTACATGAGCCGGAGCTACCAAGTGACCAAAGATATCCTGTCAGACTGCAGAAACACTGGTGAGAAACACAGCAGAGCTCCTGCTAAGAGAGGAACCTCATACTTTATTGTTTTGCATGCTCATGGGTTTGTCCACTGCTGATGTTCCATCCTGCCTGGGCTTCCACTCTCCGTAGGAAACAACGTGCTGATTGTAGCCCACGCTTCTTCCTTAGAGGCGTGCACACGGCAGCTGCAGGGCCGCGGCCCACAGAGCGCCAAGGACTTCATCCAAGTAGTCCGAAAGGTCTGTTCAATAGATGTTTTGCTTTTAGACATTTCCTATCTATCAATCAATACTCCATGTGGTTCCTTCAGTTACTGGAAAAGAAAAGAAATGACCAACTTGGCTGAATAAATGAATGAAAAAAACACTGTGCATGTCTATGGAAAACAACTGTTAAACTAACAATTTATTTTTCTTGAAAAAGACATCACCATTTAGAAGCTGATTATATATTTGTATTTCAAATGTAAATGAGCAGACAGGGCAACTTTAGCTTTCTAGAGGTACTTTACTAGAGGTAAAGTATTCCCTAAGTAAGAAATTAAATGTATAGAAGTATAAATATATGGATCATATAGATTAGAAGTGGCCCCACAAAATGGCCGTATTTGAAAATATGTGCACCATATGAAAAAATGTGATCACAAAAAACATTCTTCTAAAATAAACATTTAAATGTACCAACCCTTTATCTTCTTTTTCAAATGATGAAACACGTCTTTTTCGTGCAAGAAATTTGCAAAATGTCAAATGAGCCATTACAGTGTTCAGTTAATAATGAAGGAGGGGTTCAATAAAAAAAAGGGTAAATTCACTCTAAAACTAATTCTCAAACGTATTATTGTTTCTTCTTCTTGGTCTTAGATCCCCTACCTGGGCTTCTGTTCCTGTGAGGAGCAGGGAGACACAGGGGTTTGGCAGTTAGTGGACCCTCCCATCCTCCCCCTCACACACGGACCAAACCACTCCTTGGACTGGAGGGAGACACTGATGCAAGAATGACATCTGATCTGAACTCTGTCCAACCTGATCAGACTGTGCTCCTTCCCCTCCACTGACTGCAGGAACAAGTTTCAGACCAGTGCCACTAAAATACTGGAAGCTTTCTTTTTCCCGCCTCTTCACACAGCTGGTGGCTCAGCAGTGAGCCATGAAAAAGCTTCCTGCCTGAATATGAAGAAAAGTCGCAGCCGATGAATGGTTGTCGAACTGACTGATCTGACTCTGAGGCTGGATTAAACAATGATTTAACAAATGTCCACTTACAATAATTACAGTATTTCATTTTTATTTTTGCAGGTAGAGTGAGATTGAATTAGTCTGGCAGTACGGGTGTTGGCTGCACTGCGTGGGAGAGCTCTCACTGAACACCAGCTGACTTTGTCATCCCAGTCTCAGAACATTTTGTGAAATAAGCACATCTTTTAACAGATAATATTGTCCTATGTGTAAAGAAAAATGATTTATTACAAACAAAAATGCCTGAAAATTTAGTTTTTTTGTTGTTGTTTTTATAAACAGATAACTGTATGAATGCAGAATCTTGAGGCAACATGACAAGATTTTGTTATTGCATCGCATTTTGAGCAGTATTGACCAATTATTTGTTTGCGTGCTTTGCTTGCACCCAGGTTAGAAGACTGTGTTGAGAGTGTACCTCTCTAGTGTCTACCTAGGCGTTGTGCACACGGGAACGCATTACCTCCCTCCCATTTTTGAAGTCATCAACCATTTTCTGACGACTATTTCCTTTTTCTTAAATAAAAAATAGGTTAAGTGAGCTACTTCTTAAACAACCTGGTCGCAGAAGTCGTCTCTTAACTCCAACTTAATTTCAATGTCTCAATTTGCCAACATTACTGAGGGCTCTCGAAATCAGCATGCCTTATAGGCTAATTCAATTCTAAATTATCAGACTGATGTCACTGCAATTTTAGCTACCTGTTTTTTTCTCATTTACACTTGAATTTAGACTATATCTTGCAGGCTCATTTCCCCTCAATAAAATATGTATTTCACATTTTGTGGTTCCCTAAATATGAACTGGCTAACTCAAAACTCAAATTGGTTGACTTTACTAAACCTAGCTTACTAACATTAAACATTAGCTGTAATCATACAAGAGTATACATTTAAACCCATTAAAATTAATTGAATTAAATGTTCAAATGAGGTCTTGCTAAAATCAGCGTGACCATGCTTACCATGTGGTGTTTATAATTTAGGTTTTAGCATGTGTTATTAGCCTGTCATCATGCAATAACAATTAAACATGTAATGCTAACATTAGCATGATTATGTTGCCTTCCAATGGGATTGTGGTTAGTATCTTCAAGTAAAGAGATTATATGAATTATTGACGTCATTATGTATTTGCATTTAATGCATTACCTTACATGCTTGCTAGCTTACTGAAATGTTAGCCATGGTGGCTTGACACGTTGTTTCGACTTAACATCTTAAACAACAAATATATTGTGTACACCCATGTCATAACCACAAGCTCATGAGTACCATCTGACAGCAGCATTAGTTCCAACATACTGTAAGTATCTCAGATGCTAAACCTTGTAGCACTTGCTTTTTACTTAGGATACTGTAAACCATTTTGACTTGGCAGTATTTAAACCCCACTAAAATTTACAAACAATAACAACAAACAAATTTGTCTCAAAAATTGGGTTTCTGGTGTGTAATGCAAATTACAATCTCAGTGGGTTTCATTTGTATGGCTATAGATTTGGTGGTTTCAGGTAGATCTTTATTCCAATGTAACTGAAAGTTTGCACAACTTTAGTTTGAGTATGTGCTTAATTCACAAAATTGAATGAGACTGTGAGAGTGTAATATCATACAGTAAAATCCCTGCTTGTGTGTACAGATCCCAGCAGCATATTCACCGTTCATTCACACCGCTACTGCCCTTCTTCAGTGAGGGAAAACATATCAGTGCTGGCTTCACGTCTTCATCAGGGAATCGCCTATTTTGGTAGCACATCCAGTACAGCAGTGTCTTCTGTCATTAATGTATTGTATGTAAAAGGAACAGTAACTATATAACAGCAAAACCTGCACTATTGACAATCAAATGATAACTGCTTAATTCTGTTCCGATTTTTTCTTTTGTAAGTTTGAGTTTGGTAAATGTTCTTCAAAATTCAGAGTAGCTGTAAATAATCATATTTTAGGGAAAAAAGTCTTCCAGTTGCATTTTTATTTATTTATCAACCTTTCATTCAGATGTTACAAGCAAACATATTAACAGCATGCACAATTTTTATGCTCGGTATCTCAGGTGTTGACTGCATTTAAGACATGTTCCAGTAATTGAGTGACTGTGTTGTTGTGAGTGCCTGTTGGGAATAAAGTGATGTCTCCTGATGTTCTGACTTTCTACCCTGGTGCAGAAAAAGAAGCCGTTTTAAAGGATCAGTACGTTTGTGAGACGGTTGTCATCACAGCCTTGTTGATGAAAACATCTCAATTCAGGGTACATTTGTTTTGCCTTTTAGAGTAAAAATCATCTTGCAGAATTGAAAATGATGTGTCCTGTCTATGACATGAGTTGCTTCTAAAGCCATTATGATGGGAATTTATAGTGATTCAATATATATGTAGGTTTCCTCGCTATGAAATGTTCTCAGACCGAAGGGAGTCGCCCTGACCATTGTCAGGCAATTATCATATGGATGTTAATTTTAATTAACATGCTGTGCTTCTCCTTCTGTCTGCCCCCACTCAATTTAGGACTGTAATGTGGATTGCCTTCCTTCCTGTGTCTCATCTCTATAAATGACATTGCTTTTCTGTGTAAGAATCAAGGTTTTTTTACCGAGGACTCTTTTTAGACAGACGTGTCTAGTTATTATGTAGTGGATCTGGTTAAAACTGGACCATATTTTGTTCATCTCACAAGAGACAAAATAACTATAGAGATAGTGGGTGGTTATAACAGTAAAGCTGCGTCTGAGGATGATCTTAGTCCAGCACCAGTCTTCTCTTCAATAATGCAAACAATGTTTGACAGAGACAACGATAGTCTAAAACAATTAAAAAAGTGGGAAGAATTGGGTTTTCCAAAAGATGGGGGTTTCAGTTTAAGACAACTGGATGCATTGGTTGGGTTGAGTGTGGAATTTCCACCACAGCCATAGTTCAAACCTAAAAACAAATACACTTCAAGTTTAGTTGTTCCAACAAGATTATTCTTGACTCCTTTTCTACCAAAATCATCCAATTGTGTACAAATGATCACCTCTTCTATGCCTATTTTGAACTCCACTTTTAATGACTAAATACGTAGTGAGGTATATAAGGCTTACGTGTCTGTATACCCAACCTGTTAAGCCCGGAAGCCCCCGCCTGGGGGGAAACTGTGTCTCAGGGCTTCTTAACATTTAACAACCTATTAATGTGTCATACCCACTTAACGGGAAGAAACTCAGCTAACTGACGATATGAACCATTTTTAGCTAAACGAAACACAAGGGTAATACCAAGCCTCTGAATTAGCACTAAGCAAAAAAATGCTAACGCACTTACCACAGAACTCACGGTAGAAATATTGTATTACTTATCTGCAAGAACAAGATATCAAATGAAAGCTGAGATTCCACAGCTTCTAGAGGTATAAGTATCATCACTGTGCGACCAGAACCCAGGGCAGCGAAGGCAAAACCAGACAACACACAACGTAGCTTTACGGAGCCAAAACTGCAAATAGTCTTACCGTTGCTGTTTTCTGATCAAAAGTTGTGTTCAATGGCATTAAAACGCATAGAAACGCTGCTGAAGATGAATTCAATGTGTCTGTCTCACTTTGAAATGATTACTGATAATCCATCATAACATTTTTGTCAAAAACTGAGATTTCATATAGAGAGCTACAACCCAGCTTCCGGTTTTGGGCATGCTGCGCTCATTCACCAATGGTAATGTTTAGATGGATTTAGGATGCTATTGGCTCTAACGGTTCAAAAGAGGTGTCAATCATCAAAATCTACCGAGGGGGGCCAGAGATATGGCAAATCCACCCAAATGACCCCTGAAGTGGGATTTTTTCTAAATCTCTCTAAAAAGGTCAAATGTCACTTGTTTTGCATCAATCTTGATACAGGGTACTTATTATATGTTATAGTTTGGATTCCTAAAGCTTTTAGTCTACTAACCCATCATTCAAGGGTGGTTTTCACTATAAGTAATGTTTTCTTTTTTGGACGGACACTATAATTTACATTTTTTTACTATGTTCAATCTGAATTTACTTTAAAATAAAAAAATCTATATTGATTCTGACTTTTCTACATCCAACTCACAGGTTTATCATTGCTTTGAGAAAAAAGATGATTAATTTACCCCTTTTAGAAGTGAAGATATAGTCATTTGTTCTGGGAATGTCATTTTCGAGCCTGAGACCTGAAAAACAGGCTCAGGGCTAAACAGGTTAAGACCAGTAAATATATAATTGAGTATGTCTTGCTGCAATGGGTAGCCAGGAGAAGGCTTTGAATCATCCACTTAAAGGTAGGGTTGGTAAGAATGGAGAAACCAGCTCGAGTGCGCTAGAATTTGAAACTACGCAGCCGAAAAAAATCTGCCCCTTCCTTCAGACTTCCTTACAGAGCCCCTCCTCCAACACACACGAAAGCGCACATGACCAATGAGGGCACGAGATACGTTTGTGCAATGTGCACGAGATGGAAGGCTGACAGGCAGGTCGGCCATCCAGTTATTTTAGCCGGGCCGGCTAAAATAATTGGTCGTGCTTTTTACAGCGCTACGGCTTCCACAGATGAAATTTGTATGTATTTATTGTCAAAGCATTTAATATATTCATTGCTATCGGGATGTTAAGAGCATTCCATGGAATATAACAAAAAGTGTTTCTGAAGTGAATTACCTATCCCACCTTTAAGTAATGCCGTTCTTATGTCAAATGCATCTGGCTTTTCTTTTTTTCTGGGGTGTAGTATACTGGAGGTGCATGGAAATACTATTTTTATTTTCCAAGTCAATTGGAGTGCTTAAGTATTTTAAGAAAGAAAAGAGAGAGTGGTGTGAGCTACAGGAAGTGATGTGGCAGATAGGGTTGTGAACACACTAACAGAAGGTAGAGCTACAGGAACAACCTACCCTGTGTGTATCCTTATCCTGATTTACTTATGATACCTAAATATCTTATGTCTTATCCTAATGTCACATGTGTAGGAGTTCAATAAATCAGGGAAGCCCCGATTCATCCTACAGTTAAATTGCCTCATTTCAAAACTCTCATTGGGAATTAACAATATTTTTCTAGAAAGCCCTGTTTCTATCTTTGGAATGGTAACCCTGTTGTCAGTTCCATTTTGTAGATGAGTTGTTAAAATTCCAATTGCAATGTTTACATTTGAACAATTAATCGATCACAGCAGAAGTTAAGGGGGCGCTTTCCAGTTAAGCTAAGCTGACAGCAGGTAATAAAGAACTGCAGAAAGCACTTGCTCAGAAGTAGTTTAAGAACAACAAGGAGAAAGAAGGTCATCCTGGTGAGTTACACATATTGTTTTTGGCTGATATGATAGGCTCCTGGCATTTATATGTGTTTCTTATTCAAAGGAAGGTAGCGCAGAAGTAGCATGTGGCTAATTTGAAATCCTTTCATTAACCCAATAGTACATTTAAAAAAATAAACGTAATCTTTTTACTAACAATAATTAAATGAGAGCACATATACCACCCTCATGTTGGTCTGTTAAATGTAAAGCTGGAACTAGCAGCCGTTTAGCTTAGCCTCAGCACCCAAGACCGGAAACAGCTATCTTTGTCTTTTTGTAGTAATTTTTGATGTCATTGTGGTAATTTTGTGTCTCTTCCAGTAGTTAAGTTAAGTGCTAAGCATGTGAAGAGGGCCAGATATCACATTATGTCTCAAACTTTTGATGTGAACATGGAGCCTCTGCGGTGGCCCATAGCTCCAGATGGATACATCCCCAACTCTGTGATCCGGAGCTGGAGTAGGAATGGAAAGGCTATTAACATGACAGGCTATTTGGATGATATCTTTGATAGTCTTCAGTACTGCACAACAAATGATGAGGAGGATGAGGAGGATGAGAGCACAAGAGTGTTCTGGTTGGCAGACGATGAAGAGGAAGAGGAAGAGGAAGAGGAAGAGGAAGAGGAAATAAAGACAGATGATGTGAAACAGCGGGGGAAAGAAAAGGAAGATAAGAAAAATGAGAAAGGCAAGGTGGAGAGACACAAAAGGGCGTATGAGAATAAAGAAAGGGAAAAAGAAGACAAGAAAGATGGCTTTGACCTTCTGAAGCCCTCCTACGACATCCAGACTACTCTGCAGAACCAGCAGATAACATCTGATGAAGGACAAATGAATGTTGAGCCTCAGAGGCAAGAAGTTCGTTCAACATACAATTCAAGAAAGACTGTGGAGAAAATCCTGTAAGTGTTACAATAAATTATGATTGCTATTTCTGATGCAATTTAGAAAAGACAGCTCTATGTAAACTTTTTTTTCTAGACTAACCTGTCATGACAATGGACCTAAACAACAGGGAGAGAAACGAGAAGACTTCAAGCCTCAAGAGACCATCACAGCTCCCCTCCAATATGTTTCTGTGCCCTTCAGAGAGAAAACATCCAGCTTCATTTCCAAAGGTACTAGCAATTTATGCTAATATGGCATTTTAGATGGTTATTTTGGCATGTTTTAACAATACATAAGTAGCCTATAGCAATGATCTACTAGGATAAGAAAGACATTTCAACAACCCTCTTGATCATTTGAAGTAAACAGAAAATCAGTTTAAGGACCTATATCTCGGAACCTTTTTGTCCTAAATGTACCTGAATTTAACTTAATTTAAGATTGTTTTAAGGACCAACTGAAACCCTGAAGCTTCCAAGACCTTCCTTGATGAGTCCTGTGGTGTCTTCAAGAAGTCCTGTGGTGTCTCCAGTTGCTGTCATCTCAAAGCAAGGTTACTGTCTTCAAGAGAACATAGCGTATTAATTCGATGCGTGAAGACATTGGGCCTCATGCAAGAACAGAGGTGTTAAAGGTATAGTTGTGCTGAGTCTAACATGAGACACTTGTACAAGCAAACCTTGCAGAAAAAGGTCGGCAAAACATATGTTTAGGAAAGGACTCTGAAAACATTCTTGCCTGATGCCCATTGCTTTTTACAGTATTGAGATGACCACTCTTATAATTTTACATTCTTTGTGTTGCATGTACCTTTCCATACTTACAGAACCCAGGATAACCTTGAACAAACCACCTACCGAACCTCAAAACTTGACTCCTCATCCACTGAAGCCTACCCCACCAACACCAGAGGATCCTCGACCACAACCAGAACTTGGGTCTCCTGAATGTCCAC